TAAAAGATCCCTTGGCAGTTGGAATTCGATATAAGAGTAAACTGTAGTGCCGCTGTCCGGGCAAAATTCCCTCACAGCCCAGGTTAGGAGCAGAACAGTAGGACGTTAAACTCCATTTCATTTCATTTCATTTCTACCTCAATTAGAAGGAGAGTTATTGTGTTTCAAAGTCTCGACCAATCAAATTGCTTATCACTCAACTTACCCTAAGCAGAAAATGCTTATTATGGAACTTAGTCAAGGTATTGATGTGATAAAACCATACACCAAGTGTCATCACTCTCACTTAATTAGAAATTAAGTTATCATATCCCAAAGCATCAACCAATCAAATTGCTTATCTCTGCTTACTCTAAGCAGAAAATTCTCATCTTCTAACTCCCAACTCCATCAAGGCATTCACCTAATAAACACCTACGCCAAGTGTGAACATTCTAGCTCAATTAGAATGAGAGTTATTGTGTTCCAACGTCTCGACCAATCAAATTGCTTATAGCTCTCCTTACCCTGAGCAGAAAATGCTCATTATCGAACTTAGTCAAGGTATTGATGTAATAAAACTATACACAAAATTTTATCACTCTCAGTTAATTAGAACTAAAGTCATCCCAAAGCATCAACCAATCAAATTGCTTACCTCTGCTTACCCTAAGCAGAAAATACCCATCTTTGAACTCCATCAAGGCATTGACCTAATAAACACCTACACCAAGTATGAACCTTCTAGATCAAGTAGAAAGATAGTTATTGTGTCCCAAAAAGTGTGACGGACAGACAGAGAGACCGGCGGACGGACCGACGGACGGGGGCGACGACAATATACGACCACATTTCAATGTGGGTGTATAAAAAGTACACCACCCTCAGGGGGGGTTGGATGGTCGAATGGTAAGCACGTTCACGCTGTATCATAAGGCCTGTCATTGAGTCAACTGCCATGGTTTCAAATCGCCGGTTGTTCGTGAGAAGGAGTAGGGTCGCCTGTCCAACCTCGTGGGTTTTCTCCAGGTCCTCCCACTGCTAAAGACCCTAGGCACAAGGCCTGTCATTGAGTCAACTGCCATGGTTTCAAATCGCCGGTTGTTCGTGACAAGGAGTAGGGTCGCCTGTCCAACCTCGTGGGTTTTCTCCAGGTCCTCCCACTGCTAAAGACCCTAGGCACAAGCGAATTATTGAAATAAAATTAAACCATATTATGTTAGTCCCGAAATAACCTAATTTGTGTCGATTGGACGTTAAAACCCATTTTTCTCTCTCTACACTACCCTCAGACATGATAGTATTATTATAGCATGCTAGAACATCTTGTGTTTTGAAACATATACTTTGTGTTGTGCTTACTGCACGTTTGCCAAAGTGGTGGCAGGAGAAACAAGGAAACAATTCAATATGGCACTTGTTATTTGTAATGAATCACAGGGCGTTAACGTCTTCAAATTTCTGCTCGATGTTTTGTATACGTTATTAGCACTTGCTGCTAGCTTCAAAATGTTACATCCTTAATATCGACTATATACCAACATTAGTATACAAACAACTTTTCATGAGGTCAGTGGCTAATGAAAAATGTATGTGGCTAATAATTTTTTCATGCATTAGCCACAGTAGCTAATGAATTTTAGAAACTAGTGCTAACACAGTTATTCCCTCCTCCGAAATGGAAAAAATGATATTTTCACCTGAGAAACAGAAGATAGGTTGCCAGGCAACGAAACATACGCCCACAGCAGCTAAATTGTCCGAGCAGTCAACAAGAGTAGTCGCATATTTTTACTTTTTTCGGTAATGAAACATTTATAATACACTAAAATTTGATTAAGAGCAACAACTCAGAAAACCATTAGAATTTGTTTGGTTTTTATAAAGTTCTGCCCCATGCTAACATTTTGTATACAAAACTTTTAATACTATATCATGGATTTAGCTGTTCCAAGTAATAAAAATTCATTGAAAATCAATATACTTGTTCGTCTCAAGATCTTAAAGTCTGTGTATCAATCTGAAGTCAATCGGATATTAACTTTGGCCTCTAGAGCGTCCACAAGATTTTTCAAAGTGATCAAGGGCCATAACTTTGGCAGTAATTATCAGAAATCTTTGAAAATCAATAGGATTATTCGCCTTGTGACCTCAAACACTGTGTATAAATTTAAAGTCAATCAGATATTAACTTTAGCCTTTAGAGCATCCACAAAGATTTTTGAAGTGATCAAGGGCCATAACTCTGGCAGTAACTATCGAAAATCACTGAAAATGAATAGACTTCTTCGTCTCATGACCTTTAACACTGTGTATAAAATTTAAAGTCAATCGGATATTAACTTTAGACTCTAGAGCGTCCACAAGATTTTTCAAAATGATCAAGGGCCATAAATCTGGCAGTAATTATCGTAAATTGCTGAAAATCAATAGGATTCTTCGTCTCATGACCTTAAGCACTGTGTATAAATTTAAAGTCAATAGGATATAATAACTTTGGCCTCTAGAGAGTCCACAAGATTTTTTTGAAGTGATCAAGAGCAATAACTCTGGCAGTAATTATCAGAAATCGCTGAAAATCAATAGGCTTCTTCGTCTCATGACCTTAAACACTGTGTATAAATTTAAAGTCAATCGGATATTAACTTTTGCCTCTAGAACGTCCACAAGATTTTTTTGAAGTGATCAATGGCCATAACTCTGGCAGTAATTATCGGATATCGCTGAAAATCAATAGGCTTCTTCGTCTCATGGCCTTAAACACTGTATATAAATTTAAAGTCAATCGGATATTAACTTTAGCCTCTAGAGCGTCCACAAGCAATTGTTGACGGACGGACGGACGGACGGACGGGGGCGACGACAATATACGACCACATTTCAATGTGGGCGTATAAAAAATAAATTGGTGTGGCCTTTATTGTAGTATAAAATAGACTTGTGTAAAACTGGGAAGTTATATGACTCTAGCTGTAGTGGGGTTCATATACAATGAATGAGAAACATCAGCTTTCAAAGAAGAAATATTTATTATCAGGCAAGCATGGTTGACATACAATGCTAAAAAAACTCAAAGTGCCACTAGCATTAATATAGACTGAGAGATATGGCCTTTTGAATCGGGGTACCAATTCGCAAGTTTTGAAACTACTATTCTATGACTTGATATTGGTGCACTGGTTTTAAATCTTCCACTTAGACAATATTCTTGTTGATTTGGAGGAAATATTTATGTAGATTATTACTTCTGCATCAGATTTTCCAAACAAGTACTAACTCTCGACCATGTATGGCTTGCAATTAAATGCCAAAAATCATTAAGTGCCAAATATCTCAGTCAATATCTCAGTTGTATAACTTTCCAGTTGTACGTAAGTCTATATGTACTATAACATATATTTCTTTCATAATATTCTGAGGGGTTCACCCGACAACTTTCATAGAATTTGGTCCACTTGACATGGGATGACTCATCCTCAAGCTAATAACACCATTTCTATACAATTGGGCGGCAATAATCCATGAAGTTAATATCTGATACACGCCAAAATCGAACACATCCAAAGTCTTGGCCAATCAAATTGCTTATCGCTCTGCTTACCCTGAGCAGAAAATGCTCATTATCGAACTTAGTCAAGGTTATGATGTAATGACACTATACATCAAGTTTCATCACTCTCACTTAATTACAACTAAAGTTATTGTGTCCCAAAGCATCAACCAATCAAATTGCTTATCTCTGCTTACCCTAAGCAGAAAATGCTCATCTTCGAACTCCATCAAGGCTTTGACCTAATAATCACCTACACCAAGTTTGAAAATTCTAGCTAAATAAGAAATAGAGTTATTGTGTCCCAAAAAATGTGACGGACAGACAGACGGATGAACCCATTTTAAAAAGGTGGGGGACAAAATTAGCTTCTTTCTCTCATAAACTGTATAAATTTCAAGACAATCAGATGATAACTTTAACCTCTAGAGCATATAGAGAATTTTTCAAAGCAATCCAGGTCCGTAACTCTGATATTACTCAAGGGCGATAACTCTGATTTTACTCAAGGGTGATAACTCTGGCAGTAATTACCGCAAATCATTGAAATTCATGTGCAATGCATTGAAATATGGAAAGATAGGTTGCCAGGCAACGAAACATATGCCCACAGCAGCTAAATAGTCTGTGCGGTCAACAACGATTGTCGAATATTTTTTTGTTTTGTCAGAAATGAAAACATTTACAAAACACTAAAATCTGATTACAAGTAACAACCCATTTGGCTTCTAGTTCTGCCCTATTCTAACATTTAGCATACAAAACATTTAATATCAACTTCCATAATCATTGGAAATCATTGAAAATTGACAGGCTTCTTCATCTCATGACCTTAAACACTGTGTATAAATTTAAACTCTAGAGCTTCTACACGATTTTTCAAAGAGGTCAAGGACTACAACTCTGACAGTAATTATCGGATATAGTTGAAAATCAATAGGCTTCTTTGTTTCATGACATTAAACACTGCGCATAAATTCAAAGTCAATCAGATATTAACTTTAGCCTTTAGAGCATCCACAAGATTTTTCAAAATGATCAAGGGCCATATATCTGGCAGTAATTATCAAAAACTGGGGAAAATCAATAGGCTTCTTCGTCTCATGACCTTAATCACTGTGTATAAATTTAAAGTCAATCGAATATTAACTTTAGCCTCTAGACCGAGGGACGAATGGACGGGGGAGACGACAATATACGACCACATATCAATGTGGCCGTATAAAAAGGTAATTAATTCCAAAATGGAAGGTCGCAAAATTTTGAATGTTGATGGGGGTCCCTTCTGGGACTACCCCCCACAAGAGCTTTCACAAGATTCTGCAAAATTACTTGTGCAAATATTTCTTTTTGAACACGCACTTGACAACATTAGACTCAATAAGTGAACATTCCGTCTGTATATATTTCTCTGATTACATATACAACAACAGTGCAACCTATTCTCAAATATCAAATAACTACTGTTTACCTTACAGTAATAACAAAGGTACCATTCTTCATCCTCCACACCATAAAATTACCATCATCATTTTTATATTTGCTCATAGTAGCTGATACCTAATTCAAATTAAATTATCAAATAAAGTTATTGGAAAGAAATTTATCATATTGATATAAATAATGCAAATACCATAAAACAAACAAATAAGAGCAATGCTAACGCTGCATGATACGTCCAGATTCCTGCTTTGATTGAAATGGTAGTTTTGCCATGCAAGATGCACCCACATTTTTCAAGAGATGTAACGTTGAAAAATTTGAAAGGTTTTTAAAATCAAATAAAAATTGTGACATCTTTGAGATATTAACATACATTTTAAGTTTCATCAAAATCAGATAAAAATTGTGACCTGCAGTGGGTTCAAAAGCTAAAGACAGGTTGCCAGACAACGAAACATACACCCACAGCAGCTAAGTTGTCCGAGCAGTCAACAAGAGTTGTCAAATATTATTTCTATTGTCTGTAATGAAACATTTATGAAACACTAAAGAACTTCTTCTACAGAGAGGCCTATCGGTAGTGTTATACATAAAACGATTGTACAATAGTCCCAAATTTCAGGAGTAGCAGAACAAAGGGATCGAAAATTGAACACGGCACCTTTCATTGTTAAGCGAAACATAAGTGGGGGATACAATCTGTACGTAAGAGTGCTTTTATCAGTGATGATATTTGAACTGAAATTATTTCAACTATGAGTGTTTTCTTCTTTCCAAAATATGGGTTTAGTGACCCTGTAACAGAAATAGTTGAGTGCTGTGTGTAATACTTAGACTTTGAATTAATATTGTTGCTTCTGTGTCAAAATTATCTTATACCGGTAATCATCAGGACAGAAATCGACGGCTCGCGCTGTTTATAAGAAAGTCCAATTTATTAAACGTTTGCAGTAGTATCGTACATAGGTATCGAATATTGCACCTGTGTTTAAATTCATGACGTTGTTAGAGCATGGACTCTATCTGTAATTAATATTAAATTTTTATTAGTGCACGAAACCAGAAAATTGGCGATATTTCATTGAATATTCAATCAATTTTTGAACCAGTTACATATTTGAGTAGCTGACATGAACGCGATTCCGAAGTCCCGTGTACACATTGGTGTGACCGTAAAAGATCCCTTGGCGGTTGGAATTCTATATAAAAGAAGACTAGAGCCGCTGTACGAGCATGTTTAGAGAGATCATTTCGGGACTAACATGGTTTATTTTTTTTTTATTTCAATAATTCGCTTGCGCGTAGGGGTCTTTAGCAGTGAGAGGAAACCTGAGGACCCGGAGAAAACTCACGAGGTTGGACAGGCGACATACTCCTTGTCACGTTCAACCGGGGAATCGAAACCCAGCCAGTTGAATCAATGAGAGACCGTATGATACAGCGCAGTCCTAAGGGCTATAGCCTACCGTGCAAATTCCAGCCAGTATAATGTATCTATATAAAAAAACATTTATTCCCACTGGCGATTTACAATCAGTCCCAAAGGCTTACCTACCGTGTAATTTACAGCCAGCATCACGTATCTATATAAGAGACATTTATTCTTACTGGCGATTTACAAATATTGCATGAAGAAATTCAAATCATAAGAACATAAACACGACTAATGCACAGTGTCATATTGATTATAAAAGAACAATGTATATATTTCGGGACTAACATATGGTTCAATTGGTTCATTTCTTTAGCAATGGGAGGAAACCGGAGGACCCGGAGTGATATATATGTGAATGAAAAGAGAGAGAGAAAGAAATGGGGTTTAACGTCCACTCGAAACAAACTAGGTCATTTCGGGACTAACATATGGTTTATTTTTTTTGTATTTCAATAATTCGCTTGCGCGTAGGGATCTTTAGTAGTGGGAGGAAACCGGAGGACCGAGAAAACCCACGAGGTTGGACAGGCGACCCTAGTCCTTCTCACGCAAAACCAGGTAATCGAAACCGCGCCAGTTGACTCGATGACAGACCCTATGATACAGCGCAGTCTAAAAGGCTAGCCTACCGTGCAAATTCTAGCCAGCATAATGTATCTATATAAGAGACATTTATTCCTACTGGCGATTTACAAATATTGCATGAAGAAATTCAAATCATAAGAACAGAAACACGACTAATACACAGTATCATATTGATTATAAAAGTACAATTTATATATTGGTTACACTATATATGTCACAAAACAACAATCATTAGATAATAATAATTATTTACTAATTATATAAATCATTTTAAGAGGTAGGAGTTATCCGTTGTTTAAATTAACAGTTATATAATCACTTTTCTCGGAAAAGCCGCCAATGCTTTCTTTCAAACTTGCTCAATCGAGATTCTACTGGGTAGTGTATTGTGTGAAACCCTTGTACAATTTTTCTAATTGTCATGGGTAGCCCAAAAAAAGAGATCGAAAATTGAAAACAGCGTATTTTTACGAGTTGGAGCATGTTTATGGGTCAATATCTGAGTTATACTAGAGAGCTGTGGTTTTTTTTTTTTTTTGGGGGGGGGGGGAGTGGTGGGGATAACCTTTTGTCATATATCTGGCGATCGTGTGTCGCCTTTGCGACCGTGAAAGCCTTCAGCATTGCGCGCAATTCTAGTTAGGCTTTCACCTTCGGTGAAAGACTATTGTTATTACTAAGATTAATATTATTATTATTATTAGGCTTTCACCTTCGGTGAAAGACTATTGTTATTACTAAGATTAATATTATTAAGCTTTCATATTACATATGAAAGCTTATTGTTTCTGTTAAGATTATTATTGTTATTTTTTTTTTGTGTTTTGTCCACAAATCGGATTTCTCAGAATCTAACCATAGGATCGTTCTGAAACTTTTACCTATCCCCCCAAAAATGGGTGGTGGCTGTTGATTAAATATATTTTCAAAACGTTTTACGAATCCGAAATCACCGAATTTTACGAAGGAATGCATTTGACCTACAATGCTGTAACTTTGTGACTATTTGACCTATTTTACTAATTCTTTTTTCTTTGAGTATCTTGAAACATTTACTTCAAATCTGCAATTTCGGATTTTGGCATTTCGAAAATTCGTCGCTGTCATTTCGAACCGGAAGTTATTACCAATTTGACAACTTCTTTAATAGTTGTGCGATTTTCGTGAAATTTAGAATGTTAGTAGATCTTGCCAATGCGACTTCAATGATGGCCTTGGAAATTTTCTAAATTATCTCCCCATGGTGAAATTAAGGATCAAAGTTTTCAAAAAAATCGTCGAAATATAGGTCAGAATGACCTAAAAAAAAATTCGATACTAGACAAGTAATTACTGATTCGTACACAAAATATGGAGTTTGTCGATCGAACCGGAAGTGCCACCATCTTTAAACGTGAAAAATCAAAAAGGCTTTTTTGCTATTTTACTTACAGACTCGGGCGTCATATTTTCGGAATCCTGGAAGGAATGCCTAAAAATCTATCGGATCAGAATTTTGATTTCGGTCACGTGATGGTCACCATTTTGAATTGAAAATGAAAAATAGAAGCAATGTGAAGGGCCGGGACTTTGGAACACAAGAACTCTCCTTTTAATTAAGCTAGAATGTTCAAACTTGGTGTAGGCGTTCACTAGGTCAATGTCATGATTGAGTTCAAAGATGAGCATTTTTTGCCTAGGGTAAGCGGAGATAAGCAAGCTGATTTGTTGATTCTTTAGGGCACGATGACATTGGTTATAATGAATGGAGGGCGATGAAACTCTTGTCAATCGAGAGGCTAATAGCTGGCCTGTTGTGTGAAATCATTGTATCATTTTTTGAAAATGTCCGGGGTAGCCGAAAAAAGGAGATCGAAATCCAAAAAGTCGTATTTTTACGATTTGGGGCATTTTTAGAGGTCGTGTAAAGTAAAATAAAGCATGCATATACATATATTATTGATATTAAATATATCATATAAAAAACTAAACAATGAATCAGCTGTCATTGACAGATTTTATATTATAAGCATGGTCAGTGGAAGGTCAGCGTATTGTCTAACTTGAACTCACTGACTCCGTAACATTATTGTGGGTATGGTATAAGCTGAATTTGATGAGATGCACATATCTCGTATGACTATTTGGTACTTACAGTGTTAGACTTTGTCGTAACGTTACGGTCTCCATTCATCAAATCGTCGTTGGGGCTATAATACGATTTTGAATCAAGTTATTTATCACTGAGGGACTCAAAATTAGGTTTGATGTAGCTCTGCTCATTTACAGTGGCGAATTTAACGGGCTCATGGGTTCCAGCTCCCTCCTCTAGTTATTATTATTATTATTATTTACCGCGGGAGCCTATTTCTCCATGATCGGAAACAGATATCGATCTGGAACCAAATTTTCTATGGGGAAACCATGTGGTGGTTACTTGATAAAGTATTTTTGAAACTTCTGCGCAGACTGGAAGTGGCCGAAATTTGAACGGTAGCAATAAATCAAAAAGCGGCCGTGGTTTCGCCAATTCTTTACCTATTTTAAAACAATTCACATTTTTGGAAACCCTGAATCTTTTCCGAGACAATGGCTATCTCACATTTTTCAATTTCGAACATTCATCTATGGCTTTAGTCGTTCGAACTTTGAAAATTTAAATTTTTACAAAAAACTTTTTTATTTATGAATATTTTTTAGTCGTGTTTTACACAAAATTAAAGAGTCATCTGACATGGGCAAAAATGTGAATATTTTTTGTCTCAGTAATTTTCCTTGGCCGCCATTGGCTAATTCAGTTTTTCAGTCCTAGATTAATTATTTATTGCTCGATTTGCATAAAACAAAGTTCATATACTCCGTTGTCTCAATTGTCATTTTATTTTTGTTACTGATAGAGATGTCTGTCGGCACCGGAAGTGGCTTAATTTTACCAAAAACTAAAATTTTGACAGTTAGGTACCATTTTTCGAAAGCAAAAATATTTTTTAAAAAAACTGATATAACTAATAGAGTGTGCCCTTTAAAGGCGCATAAAATGTTGGGATCAGTTTCTTTAATTTTGATTTCATTTTCGAGCAAATCCGATTAAGAGGTGAAAAAAGGTGTAAAATTGACC